AACACTCATTACCTCTTATTAACACTCAGTAATATTTATTCACACTCAGTAATATTTATTAACACTCATTAACTCTTGTTAACATTCAGCAAAACTTATTAACACTCATTAACTCTTATTAACATTCAGTAATAATTATTAACAATAAGTAACTCTTATTAACACTCAGTAATACTTTTTAACACTCATTAACTCTTATTAACATTCAGTAATCCTTTTTAACATTCATTAACTCTTATTAACACTCAGTAATACTTATTAGCACTCATTTAACTCTTATTAACACTTAACACTCAGTAATATGTATTAATACTCATTAAATTTTATGAACACAGCAATACTTGTTAACACTCATTAACTTATTAACACTCATTAACTGTTATTAACACTCAGCAATACTTATTAACAATCATTAACTTATTAACACTCAGTAACTGTTATTAACACTCAGCAATACTTATTACCAATCATTAACTTATTAACACTCAGTAATGCTTATAGTGCTCATTAATCCTTATTAATACCCATGAACACCCGTTATATTCTTTAAACGTATGGTTCAGGTCCACACTGTAGCATCGCACCAGAACCACCCACTGAGCTGATGGAAATGAAAAGTTTACATTTTATTCTTGAAAACTTTTGTTCACCTTGTGAATCTGAACTCTGGTCCTTGTTGGTCCCGACTAAGTGACGTGGTTTATGTTTTAGACGAGACGGGATCAACTAAAAACCTTCCGTCTGTCCAACTTTCAGGAGAAGTTTCAGATTCAGAGAGCAACAGCTCGTCGTCCAGCTCTGACTCGGACTCGTCTGAAGACGAGGTGTTCAGGGACGGTTACGATGACGACCTGATGGGCGATGCCGAGGACAGAGCTCGTCTGGAGCAGATGACGGAGAAGGAGAGGGAGCAGGAGCTCTTCAACAGAATCGAGAAGAGGGAGGTGCTAAAGAGACGGTCAGTGGACACAAACTGAGCAGGAAGTCAAAGGAGGGTCTTAATTTTAAACAATCCTCTGCACTAAAATCAAAACCCTAACCGTTCACGCAGTGAGGAAAGTGTGATGTTTTTAGATCTTTGCTTATTTATTCAATGTGTTTGTTTTGAAAGGTTTGAGATTAAGAAAAAGCTGAAGACTGCAAAGAAGAAAGAGAAAGAGGAGAAGAAGAAGAAGCAGGAGGAAGAGCAAGAAAAAAGGAAGCAATCTCAGGTTCTAGACACTCAAGTGGTGAGTCAGCTGGAATTAGACATTGTCACACTTGATCACAATAAATGTTGATTGAAGCCTCTTTAAAGCTCTGAATCGTCACCAAAACACGGCCTCACAAGCTGTTTCTAAAATATTTGACTCCACCTGGAACATCCCAGTCATCGAGCTGCTGCACCGTGCATTAAAGCCTCTGGAGCAGAAGCACAAATATTCTTCTGACGTTTCAAACTTCCTCAGCTCTTTGTTTTTAGGATTATAAAATTAAAAACGAAGCACAAGGTCAAGCTGATTAAAAGTTTAAGATTAAAAGTTTTAGTTTCTTTCATCGTGCAGAGATCCCTCACCTGTCGCGGAGGTTACGTTACAGAGACTCACGTGAAAATCCACAAAGTACCTGCATTATATTCATTGTATTATATACCGGTGAGTATATGTATGTATGTATACAGGCTTTATAAACCCTGACGGACCTGCGCCCCCCTCCCCCCAACAACTGCTGGACTGATGTAACTGTGTGAACCGGGCCGAGGAGCCAGTAAAGCAGCAGAGAGGTGTTGTGTAAAGATCTGTTTCCCATCAGATTTACACCATCAGGATGAGATTTTCCTGCATCGACATCAAACAAACTAAAAAAAACATGTTTTCTTAAAATACCAGAGATTTAGAGGAGGAAAGAACAAAGCCCCTACGAAACCTCATCTGGATGGAGGAACAAAACTTTTCACAACACCAGCAGAGAGACAGCCTGTCTATCTGCCTGCCTGTCTGTCTGACCCAATGTGAAGGAATCGTCCTGCAGAGGAGGAGCTGGCTGCGTTACCTCCTGCTCTGACATCTCATTAAAAGGATTTAAATACTGGAAGAAATGAGCCGTTTTTAATGTGATCAGATATGTTTCAATATTAGCCCAATGTTTCTTTTCTTACTTGTCCTGTTTGTGTGTCTGTGGTTCCTTTCTGTCCAGGTTTCGATGTCTCACAACAAGGAAAGGCGGTCCAAACGGGACGAAAAGCTGGACAAGAAGTCCCAGGCCATGGAGGAGCTGAAAGCTGAACGAGAGAAGAAGAAAAATAAAACGGGTTGGTGTCATTTTGTGTGTGAACTAGCTGTAAACACGGGACCTACGCACTGAAAACACTTCTAATTTAGTATTTTCCAGAAGAATGGAAAAAGACAAACCGTTTGCTTTTCTCACTTTGCTTTTATTTCCTTTTCTAAAAGATAAAAGTAATTCTTTGTTGTCCCTGTAGAGCTGCCACTAACGACTCTTTTAGTTTAGATTCATCCAGATTCTGTGATCAATCACGGAAAGGACCGATTTTATTTATGTGATCCAAATCATCTTTTCTGGTTCATTTTATTGAACAGTATTTTTTACACGTACAGATTAAAGTTTCAGGTTTCTTTTAAAAAGCTTTAAGTTAGAATCTCAGTGGAATGAACCATTTTTCATTTGTTTCCCAAAGAAATGAGACGAGTGCTTTTTCAAGCTCTCACATCTAATGACATGTTCTCCATTATACGTCATTGGATACATCAGCTGTATTTCCCCTACCATTGTACAAGCAGGGCGCCCCGCCCAAACTGAACTCCCCCCACCCCGCGTCGACAAGTGCCGGCACTGACGTAGCACTAAGCTAGCGATGCGCAATACAGATGCGCTAGCTAAAAAGCTACGACTACGGAGGTAGCGCTCCAGCTCCACTCATGCTGACCTCCCTCCAACCATCCATCCCACAACCACCCCCCCCCACCCCCCCCCCCCCCCCCCCCCCCGTGTTGCAGTTAGTTGTTTTGTTCCTGCAGAAATAATAAAATAAAACCCCGCCCCCAAACAAACATTTACAGTAACGTTACAGACAACACTAGAAAACCAACAGAGAAATCTGAACTTCAGAGGACAGAAAAGTTCTTACTAAACATGAGCTCAGAGTTAAATGTTTCTTTTTCCTTCTGCAGCTGAGCTGCTGGCTAAACGTGAGCCGCTGAAGACCAGCGAGGTGTACTCTGATGATGAGGAAGAGGAGGAGGAAGATGATGACAAGTCATCGGTCAAAAGTGACCGGAGTTCACGATCTTCATCCTACGATGATGACGAGTAAGTTCTAGCATCTATGAGGTGGTGTCTGCTGCCTGTTTCGACTCTTTCTAACAGAGTGTTTGGAAAAATCCTCAATTACGGTATCTGTGTGCACAAGGTGCAAAGCTTATTTCAGGGTGTGCACGTTGTTTCAGTGCACATGACGCTTCACTGCACATGAAGCTGCCTTGTGCACTTTGCACTCACCTGGACAGATGACGGGCCGACACAATAAGCAACGGTTGAAGAAGCCTCCCTCAGCTCTGTGAAAACTTTAAGAGAAAATGTTCAAATGATTGTGTGGTGGTCTGTGGTGGTCTGTGGTGGTCTGACTCCAGAACTCCCCACAGACACTCCACCTTCACAGATAACTGTTTGACTCGTTCTGCCCACAGAAAAGAGGAGACGCTCCCAAAGTCTCAGCCGGTCTCACTCCCAGAGGAGCTGAACAGGATCCGCCTGTCCAGACACAAGCTGGAGCGCTGGTGCCACATGCCCTTCTTTGCAAAGACGGTGACGGGCTGCTTCGTGAGGATAGGGATCGGTAACAGCAGCAGTAAACCCGTGTACAGGGTGAGCCTGGTGCTGGACTCTTAATGTGCTGCCAAGACTGAACGCCTGACACGTGTTTGGATCAGTAAACTTCGTGGTTCATCCTGGTTCTCTCATTCTGACAGGTGGCTGAAATTGTGGATGTAGTGGAGACGGCAAAGGTTTACCAGCTTGGATCGACACGCACAAACAAAGGATTACAGTTAAGGTAAATCCTTGAAGGTTGTAGTTAAGAACTAGTTAATGGACCTGCTCTTTATGATGTTCTGCTCCCCATCACCATGAAATGTTGCTGCTGTACATCCTCAGGCATGGCGGGGACACTCGAGTGTTCAGGCTGGAGTTCGTTTCAAACCAAGAGTTTGCAGAAAGTGAATTCATGAAGTGGAAAGATGCAGTAAGTGCTTTTAAAGAATCAACAAATTAAACCGTTAACCCAGTTAAGGAGGCGCCTCAGTCCAGATGTTCTGTCCTGCAGATGATTGTGGCTGGAATGCAGGTACCAACTCTAGATGAGATCGGCAAAAAGGAGCAGACCATCAAGGAGGCGTTGAACTACAAGTTTAATGACAAAGACATAGAAGACGTGAGTCACTTCTGTTGGTGTTGACCAGGTTCTGTGACAGCCTGGAGTTCCTGCAGCAAACCTTCTTCTGAACTTTCTGCAGATCGTGAAAGAGAAGGATCGGTTCAGAAAAGCACCACCGAACTACGCCATGAAGAAAACGCAGCTGCTCAAAGATAAGGTGAGTGAGCTGAGAGCTGAAGGCCTTCACCGAGGCTAAAGCACACAGAACGCTACGCGAGGTAAGAGCTGAGAGGGTGCTGAAAGGTGTAGAATGGAAAAAGAGTAGTAGCTAAAAGTTAATTCAAAACAGATGCTTAAAGCAACAACACTGTAGATAACAGATAAAACAAGCAACAACTTTGCTATAAGATAAAAGCAGATGAACAGTAGCTAAATGTAGTAAAACTGGCTAAAAGCTAAAAGAAGCAGGACATAGCTAAAAGCTAAAAGTAGCAGAATTGTATGTAAAAGCTAAAATATCTATTGGAAGTCAAAAATAAAGCCGGTATGTTGGAATTGAAAAGATCAAGTGGAGATCTGCCTCTCCACTTGAGGCAGAACCTCGACCTGAAGAGAGCAATTCACTGTGTTCCGACTGAGGATCATGGTCTCAGATTTGGAGGTGGTGATTCTCATACCAGCTGCTTCAAACTTGGCTGCAAACCAATCCAGTGAGAGCTGAAGATCACGGCACGATGACGCCAACAGGACCACATCATCTGCAAAGAGCAGAGATGGAATCCTGAGGCCACCAGACTTGACTCCCTCAGCCCACTGGGTGCACAAAGAAATTATGTCCATAAAAGTTGTGAACAGAATCGGTGACAACGGGCAGCCCTGGCGGAGTCCAACTTCCACCCTGAAGGGGTCCAACTTAATGCCAGCAATGCAAACCAAACTCTCGCACCACTTGTATAGGGACCAAACAGCCCATAACAATGAGCCTCCAATCCCATACTCACGGAGCACCCCGCACAGTGTACCTTGTTGAACACGGTTGAAAGCCTTCTCCAAGTCCACAAAACACACTGTATTATGAAATTCTTTATCAAAAGGGCTCGTGAACGGTCGGCACAGATATTCAGACCAGAGGGAAAAAATAAAACACCAGAGGCTGTTACTGCTAGAAATAATAAGTGTCATTTATTAACCTGCCACAGAAAACAGCCAAGCAGAAAACATGTACACTCGTACACTCTTAACACACAAATTGATATGAGAGAACTTCTCACCGTGACACTGGCCGGGAAGTCGTTTTCGACCCAGGTAAAGAAGAATCACATCAAAATTGCGCATGGCACCAGCGCGCGCTGGTCCACACAAGACTTCCGACTCTCTGTGTTTGATACATTTCTTATATACCTTTCCCTGACCGGATCGCGTGAGAGCAGTGGAAAACAAGTTTGATGGTTGCCAGGAAAAACAGATTTAATTAAATCTGTTTTTCCTTCATCAAAGCAGTCTGTGCAACAGAGCGATGGTTTCATAAAAACATGTCCTTCAAAACCTGGGTCACTGTAACCTTAAGATTGGGCCCGATCTTCTGGTTAGAGCATCCCCCAGAGAACTTTAATTACTCCAAAACACATCTGCAGCACAGGCCTGACTTTCATCAAAAGTGAGTATAAGTGTGTTTTCAAATTACATGTAAATGAGTATAAATTGACATAAAAGCATCAAAATAATCATTCCTATATCACACACGTAGACTGGATGGGCAAACTCCCATGACCCCTCGAGGACCCTAGTAAGGGTAAAGAGCTTTTCCAGTGTTCCACGGCCAGAACAGAACCCACATTGTTCCTCCTGGATCTGAGGTTGAACCAACGATCGGACTCACTTCTCCAATATCCCTGAACAGACCTTACCAGGAAAGCTAAGGAGAGTGATTCCCCTGTAATTGGAGCACACCCTCCAATCCCCCTTTTTGAAGAGGGGAACCATACCCCAGAGTGTCTACCACCGAGTTCAAGGAGGGCCACTGCGAGAAGCACCGACAACCTTGCAGCCACAACTCAAGGCAGCTACCTCAACAATTGAGGAGCAGAACGTGGTCCACTCAGACTCAATGGCCCCCACCTCAGCTGGGATGCAGTTAAAGCTCTCCCGGAGGTGCGAGTTGAAGAACTTTCTGCCTTGTTCTTCTGCCAGGCATTCCCAGCAAACCCTCACTACACATTTGGATCTACCAGGTCTGTCCAGTATATTCCCCCACCATCTGATCCAACTCACTACCAGGTGGTGATCACTTGACAGCTCAGCTCCTCTCTTCACCCAAGTGTCCAAAAATAAACGGCCGCAAATCAGATGACAATCATCAATCTACAATCTAGGGCGTCCTGGTGCCAAGGGCACTTATGGACACCCTTATGTTCGAACATGGTGTTCATGATGGACAAACTATGACACAGAAGTCCAACAACAGAACAATGCTCGGGTTCAGCTCAGAGAGGCTGTTTCTCCCAGTCACGCCCATCCAGGTCACGCTGTCATTACCCACGTGGGCATTAAAGTCCCCCAGCAGAATAAAGGCGTCCCCAGCTGGCGCACCTTCCAGCACTGCACGCCAAGGACTCCAAGAAGGCCGGATACTCTGAACTGCTGTTTGGCGTGTAGACTCAAACAACAGTCATAGCCTGTCCCCCCACCCGAAGGCAAAGGGAATCCACCCTCTCATCTACCAGGAAAAACTCCAATACATAGGCACCAAGTCTGGGGGCTACAAGTAGACCCACACCAGCACGGTGCCTCTCACCGTGGTCAACTCCAGAGTGGAATAAGGTCCAGCCCCTCTCAAAGAGATCAGTTCCAGAGGCCATGCTGTGCGTTGAGGGAGTCCAACTATATCTAGTTGGTAACTCTCAACCTCACGCACAAGCTCAGGCTCCTTCCCCGCCAGAGAGGTCACGTTCCATGTCCCAAGAGCCAGCTTTAGTAAGCCAAGGCCAGAGAATCAAGGCCCCCGCCTTCGGCCACTGCTTTGGAGTCATGCACCCGACCTGTATGGCCCTCCTGCAGGTGGTGGTCCCACAGGAATGCAAACCCATTTGCTCCTTCTTGCTGTTCCTGACCGGGCCCCATGGTGACCTGATCACCAGCTGCTTGCTGACGAGCCCCTCCCCCAGGCCTGGCTCCAGGGTGGATCCCGGTAACCCACATCTGGGCAAGGGACATAAAGTTCCTTGATTTATGTTGTCCATCAACATTTTTTGGACACTCTCTCTGTCACCTAGGATCAATTTGCCGTGGGAGACCCTACCAGGGCCCCGACAGCAGAGCTCCTAGGATCATTCAGGTGCACAAACTCCTCCACCACGATAAGGTGGCGATTCAAGGAGGGGATTCAAGTTCATTTTAGACAAAGATAAATAATTAAAAATGATAAAAACTAAAAGTCAAAGCACACCTTTCTCTCTGTTTCTGAACGTTTCGATAAATAAATGGATTCAACTACCACAAAGTAACTGTTGGTGTGAAGTGTCTGGAACAGAAACATTTACAGCTCTGGTCCTTCAGTTGTTCGTCTGTCGTCAGGTTTTCACTCAGGTGTGTTTGTGTTTGATTTGAAGGCCATGGCTGAAGATAGTTGTGACAATGAGAGAGTGAAAGTCATCCAGGATGAGCTGAATGAGCTGGAGGAAAGAGCTGAAGCACTTGACCGACAGAGGACCAAGAACATTTCTGCTATAAGGTACCAAAAGGGGGGTTAACCTCATTCTATTTTATTTATTTAACTTTCTTCTTGGCCCCCATGCTGCCTTGCGTGAATTATAGGTGCAACTTCCGGTGCGGACCAGAACCAGCATTTGTTTATGTAGTTTCTCTGAGCATTGTGGATTTAATTTAAACATGTAGGAACACCACCTGTCAGAGCTCAGACAGGACAATATAATCATACTGCTGCCTGCTGAGGACGAGGGATGGAGGACGAGCTGAAGAATTGGCTGCAGATTACATCTACTAGCATATTTAGCTACATCTGTTAGCATATTTAGCTACTTCATTGACTCGGTTCTTCTGACAGTGAAGAGATGAACAATCTGAAAATTCCTGAGGTGTATTAGTATCTACACAGTAATAAGGTTGGTGGTGTTTTGTTAAAAGAGGAGGGACACAATCTTATTTACCTTAAAGCAGACATAGAGCCCAGATAAAGCCTTAAAGTCCTCCATCACTGAGCTTGGGTTCATTACAGACAAAATCTTAAATACTGAAGCTGAACAAATACTATAACACTGTGACCTCCGTACACTTGAAATCTTCGCTGATGCTCTCGTCACTGTTTTCAATCCTTCCGAGGATCTGGCGTCTCTTCTCCGGTGGTTTATTTGGTCCGTGTTCAAACTCTGTTGTTGTAGCCACTGATTTAGTTTGGTCTGGAAGTTCTGCAGCCGTGAACACAACAGGTACTTGAACTCAGCACGGCTATTTTAGTAAACTTTAAGTTTGTTAAATAAATGTAAACAAAACAAAAACAGTTTTATCTGCTAAACTGAATGTAAATTACTTTCAAATAAACCACAGTCCATGATTCGCTACCATGGTTAACCAGTGCTACTGCTACTTCCTGTCTGACAGGAAGTTGTACCCAGAATCATTTATACAGTCGAGCCCCCAGGAATAAGGTAGATACATGATTGTAGAAGGCTGACTTCCTGCACATTCACTTCAAACTTAAAAACTAGACAGGGTCCCGGTACAGTACTTTAAAATGCTGCAGTATTTCTATTTATTTTATTGTAACAGTTTAAAATGCTGCAGTATTTTTATTTATTTTATTGTAACAGTTTAAAATGCTGCAGTATTTCTATTTATTTTATTGTAACAGTTTAAAATGCTGCAGTATTTTTATTTATTTTATTGTAACAGTTTAAAATGCTGCAGTATTTTTTATTTATTTTATTGTAACAGTTTAAAATGCTGCAGTATTTTTATTTATTTTATTGTAACAGTTTAAAATGCTGCAGTATTTTTATTTATTTTATTGTAACAGTTTAAAATGCTGCAGTATTTCTATTTATTTTATTGTAGCAGTTTAAAATGCTGCAGTATTTTTATTTATTTTATTGTAACAGTTT